CCTGAACTCTTGATTCATAGACCCAAACTTTCACCTTACGTCTCCACTTGAACGTCTAAGAGGCATCTCAAACTAGGCATGTCGAAATCATATTCTTGATATCTTTCTCACCAAAACTTCTTTCAACAATCTTGCCCATTTCTGTAATTGTTCCATTCTTCTAATTTCTCAGGTCAAAACCTTGGGTTCATTCTTAACTCTACTCTTTTTCTGATCTACTTGCAAGTCCACTTGCCTTGGAAAAACATTCAGAATCCTAATTGTAATTTCTTTATAGTCAGTGACTCACGTACCTTTTTTTTAAAAGGCTATATTCCCTCTGCCCATTTTTCCTTTGTAGAAAATAGGACTTATATCTTTATCAAGCAAATTCATGTATAATCAGTACTTAAAAATTAAAAGCCCCAACCGACTCGACGGCACTTAACAACAACAACAACAACAACAAGTATGGATTAGCCTGGTGTGGCAGTATGGGTTAATGCACTAGATTGCAAAATCGGTTTGAACTGCAAGGTTAGTGGTTCAAGCTCACCAGTTGCTCCTTAGAAACCCTCTACAGGGTCGCTATGGGTTGGAACCAACTCGATGGCACTTAACAACAACAATAACACCTCCATCACTACTACCCTAATTCAAACCATCATCATTTCTAGCCTTGAATGCTTCAGTGGCATTCTAATTGTTCTGTTTCTGCTTTTGCCCACAACAGATTATTTTTTAACCCAATAGTTAGAGTGACTCTTTAAAAACTATGTCAGATATTTTTTCTCTGACCAATCCTATAAAGAGTCAGAGAAAAAGAGGAAGACCCCACAGCAAGATGGATTGGCAAAGTGGCAACATCAATGGGCTCAAGCGTGGCAACAATTGTGAAGTTGGCCCAGTATCCGGAAGTGTTTCATTCTGTCGTGCATAGGGTTGCCTTGAGTCAGTACTAGTTTGATGGCACCTAACAACAACAAATGTTCCATTAGCTTACAGTTGAACTCAGAATAAAAATCAACTTCCTTAAGAGTAGTCCATAGGGCTCTTTATGATCTGGCTCACCAACTTCACCATGGGTTTCTTCCTATTACATTCTCCCCTTAATCATTATAATTTGGATCATGTTGGCATCCTTGTTGGTCCTCAAGTATGTCCAAGACTTACTCACCTCAGATTGTTTACACTGCTGTATCCCCTGCCTGAAACTCTCATAGCCAACCTCTATATAAGGTTCACTCCTTCACTTCTTTCAGGAGACTCTGTTCAGTTGTTGACAATCAATGAAGTCTCCTCTCCACTCCCAATATAAATAGCTCTTCTCTCACCCAATCCTCTTTACCTGTCTGTAATTTTCTCTCTGGAGCTTATAACCACCTAACTCATTTAAGAAGGTAAGTCAAAAAGTATTGCTGCTAGAGTTCGTGTTCAAACATGCACAGGTTTATTCCAAACAAAACATGTATAAACATGTTTCTGTGATCAGTGGATGGCTACAGACAAATTATCTCAGTAATACACTTGTCTTGTTAGGGTGCCTTCAAAATAAAGAATACTTTTTTTGTACCAGGGGAAAAATAATTATTTTGAGATCAAGGCTAATATTAAATTTTTAACAAAACCTAAGTGGACATATTCCCAAATCAATGAAACTTTGAACAATTTTACAGGAACTCTGTACACATAGAATAGAAGTTGTTGCTGTTTTTTAATTTTAAGGAAGGTCAAGAAGACCTCAAAGATAAATTCAAGGCAGAGAGGTCAACTCAGAAAGTTATGGCAACTGTTTCGGAAAATTCTAAATGGGTAGCTCTGATAGCGTAGTGGTTATGAATCAGTCTGCTAATCTCACAGTCAGCAGTTCGAAACTACCAGCTGTTCCATGGGAGAAAGATGAGACTTTCTGCTCCCATAAAGATTTACAGCCTTGGACCCCATGTACAGGGTCGCTATGAATTGGAACCGACACCACAGCACATAACAACAACAATTCTTAATAGATTTTCTCAAAAGTCACAGGACTATCACAGGGGTTTATTATGAAGAGATGTTAAGAAAATTGAAAACAGCCCTAACAAGAAAAAGGCCAGGAAAATTATGCTGAGAATTTTTTTTTGCATCATGACAATACATCTGCTTATTCTTTGAGGGTAGCAAATGCTGTCCTACAAGAACTTCATTGAGAAACTTTACCCTATCCATCCTAAATCCCTGATCTTGCCCTGTCAGATTGTTTTTTCACTCTCCAAACTCAAAGAACATTTAAAAGGAACATGATTTCATTCCCTTGAAGATGTCAAAACTGCCATTTTTCATGTGGTGTCAGTCAAAGATCACAGAATTTCTCAGGGAAGGGTTAGAGAGATGGAAACACCACCTTTACAGGTAAGGGGACCTAAATGAGGGGTATGTTAAGAAACAATAACCTTACATATCTTTATTTTTTAATAAAGGTTTTCATGATTTTGTGGCAACACTTTTCATTTATCCTCATACGTGCCATCTAGTTCCTTACCTTTTTATAATGTGATCCATGAGGGCATAAAGGTGTGTACGTTACTCATGTATCCTCAGCATCTAGAATACAACCTGGCATATCATAACTCACAGTAAATATTTGGTGAATGAATGAATAAAACCTGAAAATATTATGAACTTTTATTATAAAAATTATTCATGTAACTTCCTATTTTAAGAGCCTCTTTTCTATACGGAGTCCTGGTATGGCACTGTGGGATAATGCACTGGATCACAAGATCGGTTTGAACCACAAGGTCGGTGGTTCATACTCACCAGCCACTCCTTAGAAACCCTATACAGGGTCGCTATGAGTCAGAACCAACTTAGCAACAATGACATACTCTAAATTACAAAATCAAAGATGGGAATATGAGAGGTGGGAGGGGGAAGCTCAAAAAAGAAATCATATCCTAAACTACAATCAAAAACCCTAGTTAAATATATTCTGACCCTTGACAAAAAAGTATCTAAAGTTAATCTAGAAAAATAAATAGGCAAGAAGAGTCATCTAAATGTCAACAAATAGTGGAACTTATCCTTTCAGATATTTAACTATTACTTTTGTTGTGAAGTGCCATCAAATCAGTTCCAACTCTTAGTGACCCTATATAGAGTTTCCGAAAAGCAGCTAGTAAGTTTGAACCACCTACCTTGAAGTTCAAACCAACCTTATGGTCAAGTGGTTCTCCTATAGCACCATACCAGGGTTCCTTAAGATTTAACTATATTACATGGGCTTGATAATTTTAACTTATATAACATATATTTATATAACTTTTGGAGTCCTGGTGTGGTGCTGTGGGTTAATGTGCTGGACTTCAAAGTCAGTTTGATGCACAAAGTTGGAGGTTCAAGCTCACCAGCTGCTCGTTGGAACCCTATTCAGGGTCACTATGGGTTGGAACCGACTTGATGGCACTTAACAACAAAACAACAACATATAACTCTTATGTAGCTATTTATATGACTATATTATAAGCTAAAATTATCAAGCCATATAATACTGATGTAAGAAATGATAAGCAAATCTAACAGCAGAGAATTGATAGTATAAAAATAAACTGTGAGCTGATGACCAGAGTGCAGGCTTGTAGTGTATACCCTTTGATTAGTTGATTGTAACCATGGCAATGAAATGATATATGATAGAATGAATGTAAAACTAATGTTCTCCCATGTAAACTATCACATAATTCACAATAAAACTTTAAAAAGATAAAAATAAACTGTGATAGATACAATTAATTTAACATATGATGAAGGAATATCACCAAGGGATGAATTAGTCAATATAGAATGTTTTTTTAATTGGCAATTAAATTAAGTAAAATTTCAGTGTATGCAATTCATAAGAGACTCTAAATGGATTAAAAAAGAATAAAAACAACAAAACCATTAAAACTCTAGAATATGGAAAATATTTAATAATCTCTGCATGAAAAGGATTTTCTAGGCTTAAATGTATTGAAGAAAGCAAAAGGAAAGAGATTACTAGATTTACAACATAAAAATTTAGACTTTCATGAGTCATAAGAGGTCATAAACTCACAAAAGTTATTTGCAATAAACATGAATGATTAAGAATTAATGAATGCAATATAGAAAAAGTCCACAAATAAATAAGAAAAGTAATAAAACATTAGTAGAAAAATTGGCAAAAACTACAGACAAACAAGAAGCCCTCCGGATCAGCACTTGGCTACTAACTGAAAGGTCAGTAGTTCAAATATACAAGTTACAAATCTGCTGCAAAAGACATAGCTAAAGTATGCTAAAAAGCAAAAATGCTACTTTGAGGACTAAGGTGCACCTCATCCAAGCCATGATATTTTCAATCACCTAATATGCATGCAAAAGTTAGGCAAAGGAAGATTGGAGAAGATTTATTGTATTTGAATTATAGTGTTGGTAAAGAATATTGAAAGTACTATGGATTGCCAAAAGAACTAAAAAAAAATCTGTGTTTGAAGAAGTACAGCCAGAATGATCCTTAGAAGCAAGGAAGGCGAGACTACATCTCTCAGACTTTGAACTTGTTGTCAGGAGGGACCAGTTCCTGAACAAGGACATCATGCTTGGTAAAGTGAAGGGTCAGCAAAAAAGAGAAAGATTCCCAGCGAGATGAATTGTAAGTGGGCAACAACAACGTCCTTAAAGATAACACCAGTGTGAGGATGGTGTGGGGCAGGGCAGTGTTTCATTCTGTTGTGCATAAGGTCTCTATGAGTCAAAACAGCAACTCAATGGCACCCTAACAACAAAACAGCAACAGACAATTCATAGAAGAAATATATAAATGAACAATAAAGATATGAAGCATATTAAAAATAGTAATTAATGGTTGATAATCAGTACCCTAAAATGGTTTGGGTGGAGGAGAAATTACTTGCTTAATCACATAAGGAAGTCAACATCATCAAGAGGTTTCTTATGTAAACAAAGAGACACTAGCATTGGAAAACCTCCTCATTGAGGAGGCCGTGGGATTGAAGTACCTGATATGGAGCAATAGATGATGTGAGGAGCAATCTTGTCTATATCTTCATAGCCCAGGCCCATGTCAGACAGTTTGCCAGGGACATAGTTTTCCACAAATACATCACAAACAGCTGCAAGCTGAAGGGAGAGGTAAAGATGAGTCAGACTGCTTAAGGGACTTTCAAACTTTCAACAAATCCCCACATGATCGAACTGTTCTTTGAATTTCCGTAAACAAAATTGACCCTCATTTTACAATAGTCCAGAAAGAAAAAAATAAAAATCACAGGGCAGATGAAATAGAAGTAAAAAGCCTTGGGCAATTGCTTGAGGTATTACTGCCAATAAAACAATGGCTATCACACATCTTTCAATAAATTCCATGGAAATCACATAGATTTCATTTACCTTAAATGTAAGAAATACCTAGGCTACATAATCTGTTCAAATATATTCTCAGAAAAATTAGAATGTAAGTACATAAAATACATGAAAAACATCTTTCAAAACCATTACAAAAAAATACATACACTGTCTTTACCACTCTGTCATTATTATATACAATATTCCTCATTACAATACAAATACATAGGCATTTAATACATGTAATCCTGACTCTGAAATGCTTTCATAGTTTTCAGATGCTTTCTTTCTCACGAGTTCCAAATGTACTTAATGAGCTATTGTTTTCTACAAACCATTAAACAGGACCCAGATTTTCATTTCCAAACCAATAAATACTACATGCATTAGAGAACACTGAACCATTATAAACATTAATCTTAAAATTATTCTCAAGATTTCAATCATGTATACATTTTTAAGTCTTTTAAGTCATCACAAAATTTTACTAGGCCACACAGGGAAACTCAGTACAGTAATTCTTGAATACACTCAGTGCCTAATGTTATTAAGTGCCGTCGTTCACCCTGTATAGGGTATCCAAGGAGAAGCTGGTGAGTTTGGACCACTAATCTTGTGTGTTCAATACAACCTTGCGGTCCAGTGTTTTATCCTACAGCACCACAGTATGCTTTATATTTTAATTGCCATGATGACGTAGATTTAGATATACTTACACACAACTAAGGAGCTCTGGTAATGTAGTGGTTGGGAATCAGGCTGCTAATCTCAAGGTTAGCAGTTCGAAACTACTCTTGGTCCTGTGAGAGTAGGACAAGGCTTTCTGCTCCAGTAGAAATTTACAGACTCGGAAAGCCTGTGCAGGGTCAGAATTGACTCCACAGCACATAACTACCACCACATACAGCTAACAAAACAGAAAAAGGCTCTTGATCAGGGGTGGGAGATCAGGCTCCCTAAAAATTTTTCTATAAAGGTTCAGATTTTAAATATTTTAGATATTGTGTGCCACATACAGTCTTGGTCATATACTCTTCCTTACTTTGTTTACCAATATTTAAAAATATACAAGTCATTCTTTATTTGTTTGTTGTTGTTAGGTGCCATCGAGTCAGTACCAACCCATAGTGACCTTATGCACAGCAGTATGAAACACTGCCTGATCCTGAGCCAACCTCACTACTGTTGCCACACTTGAGTCCATTGATGATCCAACTTGGCCAATCCATCTCACTGGGGGTCTTCCTCTTTTTCTGTGACCCTCCACCTTCCCAAACATGATATCCTTCTCCAGCGACTGATCCCTCCTGATAATATGTCCGAAGTATGAGAGACAAAGTTTGGCCATCTTGGCCTCCAAGGTCAAAAAAAATTTCTATAAAGGTTCAGATTTTAAATATTTTAGATATTGTGTGCCACATACAGTCTTGGTCATATACTCTTCCTTACTTTGTTTACCAATATTTAAAAATACACAAGTCATTCTTTATTTGTAGGTCATACAAAAAACAAGCTGTGGGCCTGATTTGGACCCCAGCAGATGTTTGACAACCTCTGCACTAGATGGAAAAGGTTGAACTACCATAAACATTAGATTGAAACACACAAACAAATTGGGTTTCAATATGCTACTGTGTCACCAGATTTGGATTGTGTATTTGGAATTCTCTGATGTAACAAGATGGGGACAAGAGAAAGTATTAGGAGGAATCTCAAGAAAATAAACTGTCACCTCCAGAGCTCTGGAAACCAATAGTTCAGGTGACTGCTTGTTAGGAGAAGCATGCAAAACATACTCAGACATAGCACAGAGATAAAAAGGTTTCAAGTATATACCCCAAATCTCAAGACCTACTTTAGATATTTTATGCACCAACAATTGAGCTGCTCCTCACGCAGGCAAATCTATGTGGCATGCTCCCGAGTTAGCCCTATCAAATCAACTGCAGTGATTTGATGTTAATGATTCGACTAAGCATTGCTTGGAATAGGGGAGAGTGCAAAACACAAAGCTACAGTTCTACTTACATTTACTCCAGAAATTTTCCTGAGCCTCTATCTACTACGGGTCCTTCTGCAAACACAGAGGAAAGACTCTGCTGCAAACATGTCTAGGTTATTGTAATAGTCACCTCTGTGCTGCGTATATTCTGCACAATGCACAGTATACTGTGTTATGCAGATACTTTTAATAAATTTTTTTTTTTTTAAGTCTGTGGAGTATATGCGTTTCTGCCGCTGCTGATGCTGCATGCCAACGAGTCAGTTCCAACTCATAGCGACCCTGTATAGTCCAGTGTACATCCTACAGAGCCACGAAGCTCCATTGCTTATCCATGGCATCCAGATGTGCAAAGTCTCCCCTTGTGTTTTCTCATGGCTCTGAAGTATTCTCCTCTCCCTATAGGGTTTCTGAGGACCTTGAACAGCCAACCGGGTGGTTCAAACTGACCTTGCTATCTAGTGCATTAGCCCACAGCGCCACACCAGGACATCTTGGGATATTAGAGAAGTATAGAAATACATCCCTGGTCATGCAGTGGATTACATGTTGGGTTGCTAACCCAAAATTTAGCAGTTTGAATCCACCAGCTGCTCCACAGGATAAAAATGAGACTTTCTGCTCCCGTAAAGATTTACAGCCTCGGAAACCCTATACACAGTTGCTAGGAGTCAGAATCAACTCTCAAGGGCACGAAACAACAATCATCATGCACACTGATTGAATTATTAGGTAATGGATAAGTCAGTGTAGAGGAGCTTATGAGGAAGAGACACAGAACGTCCCTCCCACCTCCCCCCCAGGAAAGTCAAACCCCAAATATAATGAAAACAGAAGAATTGAGAAAATATCCCTTGCAACCTATAAACAAGAAAGAGCGGAGGTGGTCATAATGATGTAGCATAAAATAAACTTCAAATCAAAATCTATTAGAAAAAATAAAGAAAGACATTACATAATAATAAAAGGGTAAATGCAGCAAGAAGATCTAACAATTATAAACATATATGCAGTCCTGGTGTAGTACTGTAGGATAAGCACTGGAATGCTAAACACAAAGTTGGCGGTACAACCTACCATCCACTCCTAAGAAACCCTGTACAGGGTCATTCTGAGTCGGAACAAACTACACAGCATTTAATAAAAATAACAGCAGCAATGCACCAAAACACATGAAGCAAATACTAATATGAAAGAACTAGACAACTCCACAGTAATAGTAGGGGACTTCAACACATCACTTTCACTTATAAGGCAAAACATCCCAAAAAATGACAACCAAGGACACTGAGATTGTAAATAAAACCATAGGACAATGAGACTTAACCAACATATGTAGAACACTCCACCCAGCATCCAAACAATGCACATTCTTCTCCAGCGCACATGAATCATCTTCCAAAATAGACCATACACTACAATACAAAACAAGTCTAAACAAATTTTAAAAGGCTGAAATCATACAAACCACCTTCTCTGACCACAACTGTATAAAGCTAGAAATCAACAAAAGGAAAATAATAATAAGTACATGGAAACTAAATCATACACTACAAAATAAACAGTGGACTACTAATCATGAGGTTGGGAGTTCAAACTCACCAGCTGCTCCTTGGAAACTCTATACAGGGTCACTGTGAGTCATAACCAAGTCACAGGCACTTAACAAGAACACAACAGAAAACTATTGGGTCATAGTAGAAATCAGAAGTGAAATTTTAAAATTCCTAGACTCAAATGAAAACACAACATATCAAAACTTTGGGACACAGAAAAACACTAGTATGCAGAGGGAAATTTATAGCAATAAATGCCTACATTTTATAAAAAGGAGAAAAATTTAAATCTTAATAAAAAATATTCCCTCCTGATATCTTAAAACTGAACACTTGTTGTTGTTAGGTGCTGTGGAATCCGTTCCAACTCATAGAGACCTTGTGCACATCAGACAAAAACACTGCCTGGTCCTGTACAATTGTTACAGTTGAGTTCATGGCTGCTACCACTGTGTCAATCCATCTCATTGGGGGTCTTCCTCTTTTTCACGGATCCTCCACTTTACCAAGCATGATGTTCTTCACCAAGGACTATTTCCTCCTGATAATATATCCAAAGTATAAAAGATGAAGTGTCAACATCCTGGCTTCTAAGGAACATTCTAGTTACACACCTTCCAACACAGATTTGTTGATTCTACTGGCAGTGCATGATAATTTCAATATTCTTCTCCAACCCCACAATTCAAATGCATTGATTCTTCTACTGTATGCCTGATTCAGCTAACTTATACAGTAGTTAAAATTAAGCATTATACTCCTTAAGGTGTGCCTGACCCTAGCCATGGTATTTTCAATAACCTCATATGCATGTGAAAGCTGGACAGTGAATAAAGAAGACCATAGAAGAATTGATGCTTTTGAGTTATGGT